CTTATGAGACAAGATGTTGTTGCAGTCCAACTCTTTAAAAGGCGTTCTGTGCACCCTCAGAGTTCGTGTTTGTGAACGACTCTCAGCTACTACCACCGTTCATTCTTTTATAGAATAGCTGTAGTGACCATCTTTGCAGTGGATTATGAGATGCTTTGCTAACAGAGTTTGAGTTAAATAGTTAATAGGAACAATTTCAACAAAGATGGTGTGTAATCTGTCGGCGCTCCTGTTGGGGATCAGCATCAGCCACTACCACACCAACTTTAGGTCCATTTCTGTCAAACTGAGTTCTGCTATTTTTTTCAAGATCAGTTGGTTGTGGTGGCCATCTTGAATCAGTTGTGGATGTGTTTCAACTATTTCTGAATGAAGGGAAATAATTTGTTTCTAGCCAACATTCTATAACATTTAAACTATAAATAATCACCTAAAAAAGTTAAATCTGGTCCTCTGTTTTTTTTTTTGACTGTCCAGAGGACCAGATTTAACTTTTTTAGATTTTTCTACCTGGATTATTGAGCATGCATCAGGATATAAATAATCACGTTTCGTTAATACCCACCAACATCTGAGGTGAAAAGAACAGAGGCATTTAAAATGTTGAGTTAGATGAGGCTCATTTACGATTTTCTTTATCATAAACTAGATTTAGTTGATTTCTGTAACCCTAAAGATCAGCTGATGTGCCAGATGTTCCTCAGTTTTGAGGTCTGCCCGGGTCAGTGTCTTCTGGATGACACATTTGCATCGAGGGCACAACGTGAACTCCAAAAAACCCAATTCTCACATTTTTCCTCGTAGCGTTTCACTCGTCAGCCGTAATGTGGAGTATCCACTGCAGCTGGAGAACTTCATGATGGATGTTGTGTTTTGGAGTCTAAACACACCATTGTTTTACAAGAGAGGCAAGAAAAAAACACACTACACATCTGGAAGTGTTTCCTGCAGTGGGGTCTTTCTACTGAAGTCTTTCTTTATGTGCCTTTAGACACTCAAAGGGAAGACTGGTTTGACTCTCTCAGACGATGTTACTACAGAAAAGAGCAAACGTTTGAGTTTGGTTAATGACTCACAGAAAACTCCCGTTTCAGGAAGATTCAGGATGAAACGCACAGCGCTGCTGAAGCCTCCTGTGGTTGGGCATTTCTCTGCAGATTAAAAGATGCGTCACAGAAAACAGGGCTCATTGTGAAGGTTTATTTATCCTACAAAGCCAGTGCTGTCCTCAGTGCCAGACGTGCACAAGATGTCTTTTGGCAGTTGATTCACTTCTCCCCCTCCTGTCTCAGCCCGTTCTTCTTCACTCTCAGCTCCTTGGCAGGTTCCCAGCCCAATGTAGCCTGGAACCAGACAAACCCTCGTTTCTTCCCACTCAACATTTTCTTTTTTTTTTTTTTTTAAACACCATTCTAAAAGTTTAAAGAGTTCTAAATAAAACAATGGAAATGCTTTGTATGCCATCTGCTACTGATCTGCATGAAAACGGAAGTATAACCCACTCACATCGGAGCCTTTGCTCGTGTCCTGGAGAGGAACCACACCCTGGTATGATTCAAAGATCCAGTCTTCCACAGACACAAAACCCCCACAGTGAAAAAGTGAGCCGACACTCACACAACGGCCCTTACATGTGGCTTTCTGTCTAAAAAAGGCCACTTTATCTCTCACACACACACACACACACACACACACACACGCACACACACACACACACACACACACACACACACACACACACACACTTGTGTAGAGTTTATATAGGGGAGTGGTGGCTCAGAGGTTAGAGAAGGTGGGCCTGCGATCACCAGGTCACCAGTTCGACTCTTCATACCAACGTGGGTGGAAAAGGTGAAAAACTCACACCTGCCTCCACCCTCATTTGCCCCACTCTGACCTTTGAGCAAGTCTCTTAACCCCCACCATCTGCTCCCAAACAGGTCTCTCTTGAAAATGAGTCCTCGTGACTCAATGAGACTACCTGCATTAATAAAAAGGATAATAAAAAGTTACCTTCACACAAATGTATATCTCTGAAATAGGGCTGGGCAAAATGGACCAAAATTAATATCTCAATATTTTTTTAAGATAAATCGCGATATCCGATATATACCGGTATCAATATTTTTTTATTTCCATAAAGTAATAACAAAAATATATTTCTGACTCAAAGCTTTGTCCCAATTGTCACACAGGCACATTTATTAACAACAGCTGTAACTGCACAAAATAAATGTCTAAAAAACAAACTATTTACTTAAATTAAATAATAATCCTCTTCAGCTGCACCGCCTTCACGACGTTCGCGAGCGTGTGTGAAGCAGCAGTGAGGGGCCGTTTGTATTCAGCGAGGGAGAAGGAGGGGCCGCGTGAAGTTGGTGGTGCAGATGGGCAGAAAAAGAAGAACTACACGGATTTTCAAGTCTAATTATAACGCAACGTAGAAATATTGATATAGACGATATAGTCCTGTCTTATGAAATTATCTCAATATTTTTAAAATACCGAGATATCGCCCAGCCCTACTCTGAACTAAAAACACTTTGAGAAAATAAAGATTTCCAAAACAAATTAGTCAAAACGCTCTTTATTACAACTGATTGTCCTCAAAATACCAAAATAATGCCACGCATGTGAGTTTACATGGAAGTTCACACATGTTAGTTTACACATGTGCTCTGAGACAGATTTATTAAACATGTGAAAGGATGTTTTTGGTCCTGTTTTTGGTCCAAAAGTTATAAAAAAAAAATCATCAACAAACCTTGTTCCAGTAAAGGGAAGACTAAAGAAGACTTTTGGTTGTGTCGGTCAGTTTGCTCACTCGTTCTGTGTGAAGTCATTAAATGATGAGTGTCAAAATGGTGGAATGGTCATTCAGCCAGTCATAAAACTTTACTTCAATGGAGAAAAACTAAACAAAATAAACCTCATCTTTGGAGTTTACGGTTTGCCATTCTTGTGAAACACTTGCGTCAGCTAGCAGCTATTTAGTTGAGTTGAGCTGATCATTAAAGGAGTTGTGTGCAGGATGCAGGAGAACTTAGTGGTGAAGCTGCACCGGCAGCTCTTTCATTACATTCAACACTTTTTACATTCATTTAAAACCCTAACCAAAGAGGGTGGACATGTTGGAGGGGACACGTGGGGTTCAGTATTTGGTCAAAGAAAAGCTGCAGGAGTTAAGGACCAAACAATCAGCTGCTGGATGGATGATCTTCAGCTAACATAACAACTGGCTAACCCTCTTCTATAGTGGATATTTAAACAGCTAGAAAATAAAAGTCGGGCTTGTTTCTATAGAAGCACAACGACAGACTCTGTGGTAGAGAATTTGATTTGTATGACTCCAATTCGATTAGTAAACCAAAAACTGCTATTATTTTTAATTAGTTGTAATAAAATTAGGTTGACCTGATGCACATGTTGCACACTGTCGGTTAAAGACTGGAAACAGCAACACAAGTAGCCTTTTCCTCCCTAAACTGGTTTTAAAACGCACCTGGTAGAATATTTTTTAACATGAACTTGTTCCGAGTGAGACACCATCTACACCACTCTGGGTATAAACGTTGTTTTCTCCAGTGATTAAAAACAAATGCACACGTGCACGTTGACAACAAACCAAAATACAGAGAAAAAGTTGGAGCTTGGTTCAAGTTTCTCTCAAATCAGGTGTAGTTATGCAGACTTGTTGCTTGAATTTTGAACAAGTTCCAGCAAATTGTGACCACTTTGGTTCTGAAGTCCCAGAGGTGTCATTTCAAACTCTTCCCAGTTTAGTTTAAACAAACCAAGAGCATCACAGCTGTCACCTGACACATGTCCAGGTGTTGCCCTTATAACAGAAAACATCTGAGGCTACAGCCTCGAATGCCCATCATCCCCCCCCCCCCCCCCCCAAAAAAAACCCACATTTGTAAATAATAATTATTTAAAAACTGGTCCAAATCAGCCTAGCTTTATTTCAGTGTACTCCAGTAGATCGAGTCATGAACGTGGGGCGGCTGCAGAGGTGGGTTTGACGCGGGCGGAGATGGGCAACAAAACAATGTGCACAGATGCAATTTACAAGCCATGCACACATAGGCCATGTTATTTAAAAGTTGGCCATTCAAAATGCATCCATATCACCCACTGAACACTTTGTGGCATTTCAGTGAGATTGCATCAGAAAAGTTGCCTTTTTTCACCCATATTTGAGCCAAAAACTTGTCTCCCAACAGTGGTCCTTGAGGAACACCATCCTGCATGTTTTAGTTGTTCCTTTGCTCCAACACACCTGATTTTAATAAATGGGTGATTAAAAGGCTTCTGCCGAACTTAAGGAAGTAATTAAACTACTGAATTAGGTGTGTTGGAGCAGGGAAACAACTAAAACATGCAGGATGGTGTTCCTCAAGGACCACTGTTGGGAACCACTGTTCTAGGACTAAGTGACTGTGGGTATGCATCAAACAGACCGCTAGAATAATATACTCCGTATACGTTTGTTCAGTCCGGAAAGTGTTTTTTTGAAAGGAAACTGTTTAAATGTGAACGGGAAGAGCAAACACTGAAATAAAATATATATATTTTTAAATATCCATAGTGGTAAAGATGGTGTCAGAACCAACAGGCTAACAGTTTCCCCGTCATTCTAGTCTTGGTGCTAAACTCATTTAAACAGCTCCTGACTAGCTTCATCAACCAGGGTGGTATGAATCCAGCTACCGGTAAATGTTTCTCAGAATATTCCTTTAGTCTTTCCCGTCACATTCAGAGTCAAATGAGAAGTTAGTGGTCAAACAGTGATACTATCCATCCGTGCAGATAAGGCGTGGAGGATTTTAACATTTTCTCTGACATGACGTGCATTTTGGGAAGAAAATACCATTTATGAGAAAAGTGCACATAAATCCTAAAAGTTTTTCTGGACTGGAAGACATGAAGCCAACATTTTAGGTAATGTTGGAACAAGGCGGGTTTTCCAACAGTTTAGTATGTTCAGTACTCTTGGACATCAGGGTTGTTGTTCTGTCCACTGAAAAAATAACATTATAAAAGATTATTTGTCCACAGTTTGTGAATGCTACGTTAAAACCTTAAGAGATAATGCTCCCTGGAACAGATTTAACTGGGCGACAGCAACAACAACAAACTGTTTTGCATATCAAAGCAGGTGAGCCACAGCCCTGCAGTCAGGACTGAAGGCGATCAGGATCCGGTCCAGTCTCACAGCACGACTCCCTCCACATTACAGAGCAGAACCTCATTATGTGGGACCCGGCCCGTCTGCCGGTGGAACTGTCCCTGTTTCTGGGTCTTCCAGCAGTGGATTCCTTGTCCAAGGGTGATACTCTTGATGGTGGGCAGGTGGGTCAGCAAGTTCGTAGGCAAAGACGCCACACCCGAACCAGATAAATTCAGCTCCTGCAGGGACTTTAGCCCGTTGAAGACTGCAGGACTAAGACTCTTGAGCTTAGGGTTGTTGGACAGATCCAGAACTTGCAGGGTCTGGAGACCTTTAAAGCTGTCTGGTTCAACTTCCTGCAGTTCACTAAGGCCACTGAGAGATAAATAAGCTAAATCTTTCAGGTGGGTGAAGGCTCCCTCCCTGATCTTGGTGATGGGGTTGGCATCCAGATTGAGGTACCTCAGCGGAAGCCCTGCCATGCTGGGAACGTTCACAAGATGATTGGCAGACAGGTTGATGCTCTGAATGTGTAAAACTCTTCCGTGCAGGTTGGTGGAGAGCGACACGAGCTTGTTGTGGGACAGATCCACGATGAGCGGCTCACCGTTCACTTTAGACGCAAACACCTCCATGTCAAACTCCTGGAAACTGTTGTGGCTGAGGTCGAGTTCGGCCAGAGGCAGCCCTGAGAAGCAGCGTGGAGACAGGCTCTCCAGGTTGTTGTGGCTCAGGTCCAGGCTCTCCAGGTAACGCAGCTTGGACAACGCATTGGGGCTCACCTGCAAAATGGGACGGCAGGGAAAGAAATGATGGAAAATCAGAAGTATCTAAATATTTGGTCTTTACAAGTCAATGAGCAACTTCAGCTACTGACTGGCATCCAGTAACAGCAAGGCATGAATAATTTATTCATGTTTTAATTATGATTTACACAGATTACAACTAGCAACATTAAACACATTTAAACAAGGGTGCTATGGTGTTGTTAAAGCTGCTTTAATGTTGTCATCAAAAAGGTATAAGGAAGGATGAAGAGGAAAGGCAACTAGAGAAATTGCATTTCCTGTGAAAACGCAGTGTGAATGTTTATTGCAAAATAATTTTCTGAAAAACAGCTGAAATTAACTTTAAAAAAACATGCTGCAATGTAGCTGAAATGGAACAACAAGCCTAAATAAGCAGCAGAAAGAAAACATATTTGCTGAAACTGGCTTAAATATATGGAATTAGACAAAAAATTAGGAAAGTAGTTAAAAAACTGAAATTAGCCAAAAAATGTCTGAAAAGTAGCTGAAAAGGCAGAAAGAAGTTTAAACTATCAGAAGGAAGTGAAAAGAGCTCAAATGAGCCAAAAAAGTGGAATTAGCTAAAAAAGCTAAAATTAGCATTAAAAAACTGAAAAGTAGCTGAAATAGCAGTAAAAGCTGAAAGGAGCATAACAAGCTGAAATTAACCAAAATAAGTTAATTAGTATAAAAGTAGCAGAAATTACCTTGAAAAGCTTGAATTAATTTGACAACAGCTGAAATTAACTAAAAATGCTAGAAACTTAGCTTAAATGTAGAACAAGCTCAAATTAGCAGAAGGAAGTGGATAGAGCACTATTTGGCCAAATTGGGCTGAAAAAAGCAGAAATGAGCATTAAAAAACCCAAGCAGCTGAATAGTAGCTAAAGAAAAAGCAAACAGAAGCTTAAATTACCAGAAGTAAGTGGAGAGAGCACATTTTTGCTGAATTAGGCTGAAAAATGAATGAGTGCAACAAATGTGGAATTAGCTGAAAAAGCTAAAATTATCATAAAAACAACTGAATAGTAGCTGAAATAGCAGTAAAAGCTGAAACTTGCAGAAATAAGCTGAAAGGAGCATAACAAGCTGAAATTAGCAGAAAGAAGTTAGAAGATCCTGATGCATGCTCAAGTTAGAAGATGAACAAAAATGTTGAAGTCAGCAGAATAAAGCAAAAAGGAACACAAAACAGTTGAAAGTAGCTGAATTTGTTTTTAAATTTGCACAAGGAAGCTGAAAGAAGCTAAAGCAGAACAAAATGTGAAAGGAGCAGAAAAAGGTTGTAAACAGATCTAAAGATCTGAAGGATGTTAAATGAGCTCAATTCATTTTCTATGAGAAAAAAAAAGGATAGAAAAGGCTAAATATTTCAAAAAGCTAATGCTGCACCTATACCAAAAGTCATAGCAGGATTATCCAGAAAGAGCTGAACATTTTGGTTTAAGATTTGTTAAAAAGCACAGAAACTGTGGAAGGAGAAAGATGCTGAAAAACACATGGAAGAAAAACGGATCACAACAATGAGCTTCTTTTCTTCTTCTCCAGTTTGACTTTAAGACACCGTCTACTCATTTTAAACATGTACTGTATATTTTTAATTTATGAACACGTGTCCATCCAAACATTCTCACAAGAAGCTTAAATGTCATGGTGGTGAGAACTTTTGTTGTTGTTGTTTAAAGAATACCCAGCTTCATGTAGAAGGGGCGTGCATCACTAACTCAACATGTTTTTATTTATTCTTCCATAAAAATGAGATGCTACACTGGTTGTAGTTTTACAGTCACGCTCACACTAACTTGTTCCCTCTGGTCTCCATAAACCCGTGACCTGAGCCGCTCTTTGCTTTGGCACCAGACGTTTTGAGTTGGAAGTTGGTACAAAGTTGAGCACCGACTCTGAACCAGAACTGAAACTGCTTCGGTCAAACCAAGAGACGATTTATGGACTTGATATGTTCAGGAACGCCATTCACTCTTCTTAATCTGCACTGTGAGAAGATTTCAACTGAAGTTATTCGTTGTCCCTCGTGTCAACTATTAACAGCTAGGTATGATGTGGAGAAGGACGTATTAGGAGGGTTTTAACAAATATTTACCTGAAAACAGCTGTTCTCTACAATAAAAAACACACAGCTGGAAGGAGTTAGAACAAACCATTATATTAAGCTTGTTAGACACATTCTGTTAAGCACGAGCTGGATTCACTTTCAAAGTATACCACACGTGCACCGATGCCCCCCGTCACCGAGGGATTGATAGTGAATGTTTGTAGCTTTCAATAAGTATTTTTTCTGGACTGGAATTGAACGGAGAATGAAATTAAACCTTAATGTTTTTGAAGCAAGATAGTCAAGCAGGCAGGAGTTACATGAGGAGAAGAACAGAGGGAGGTTTGTTTTTCTTTTTACTTGCACAGTGAGGGATCCTGCAGAGTGCAACAAGCAACTTTATCCACCACCAGGCGCAAAGGTGGAGTCAGGGGGTGGTCAATGGTGGCCTTGGCCGCCATAGATTAATATTGGGCCACCGCAATCATTTGAGGAAACTATACTTTTAAGCAGTGGTGGCGTCCATCTTGGATTTTGATGTGGCAACCCAGTTATTGATCCTAGATGTGGCCACACATCAAAATGGAAGTACCGCACTTATTTTTTTACAAGTTATCCAGCTCACAAGAAAGATGGGAGGGTATTTACAATTCCCCTCTTCACTTCCCAACAGGGGACAAAAAGTCACAGTATTAAAACCACAAAACGTTTTCATTTTACAGTTCAGTTCAGTTTAGTTATGAGATACCAGAGACAGTGCGGGATTTTCTCTAGTTTTACATAGCTCCGCCCCTGACACACCTGTCCCTGCCAGCTGTCAGTCATCTGTGTACGACAGCTAACAAAGGGGAAAGGTCTAAAACTTTTCTCACAATTATTATTATTTTTTTTTTTTTTCAAATTTGGAAGTTAGGATGTTTTTTTTAAAACAGCAAACAGATCTGCATGGCTTTGCCCCCAAAGGATTACTGGTCCCTCCCCATTCATTAAGGCTACTCGATTTGAAACAAACAGCAGGTTTAGTTAACAACGGTTAGCATGAGCTTCAGTGAGATAAACAGTCAACAGCAGGCTGGCTACTAATTAGCTAACATCAGCTCGATAAGGTATATCCTGTTCAGTAAGTATTAAACTTAGCTGCTGCTCTTTAGACAGTTTTGTTTTGTGTACAACTGCTGCTCCCCAAAAATACTGCAGTTATTAAAACAACCTGTTTGAGCATTTACACTTTTTGTTGTTTTATGCTACAATACAGTGAAAACATGGTATTTTGTCTCAAGGTTACCGTATCGTTAAACTCCATATCACTCCCAGTCAACTCTTTAACACGTTGTAACTTTATGTTGATAAGCTACAAGTTGTTCTTATATCTAAAACTCTAAAGTCCAAAACTTTTCTTGAACAAGGCTCCTCCGTGGCTTTATTTAAACGTTCTAAAGCCTTGCTCAAGGGTCTATGTAAGCACTGACCTTTGTAATGTGGTTGCAGCTGAGGTCCAAGCTAACCAGCGTTGTGTAGCCTGGACCAGCTAACATGGCGTCGCTGAGCGGGCCCATGTCGTTGGAAGACAGGTCCAGATGTGAGGTGTCCAGTGGGATGGGAATGGGCATGGAGGCACCGGGACCCAGACCCCGGCAGTCCACCCTGGTCAGACTGAAGCTGTCGAACAGCCCGAAGCTCTCCACGTCGCAGTGGCAGGCGGGGTGGCAGTTCTTCACTGAGCTGGACCGGACTGCAACCAGCAGGGACAGGCCGAGCCACAAGAGTAGAACCATTGTGCTCTGGAAAGAGACGACAAAAGAACATGAAAAGCCTTCCTTACGTTACCACACAAGTAGTGAGAAAACTGCTGGGGGAGCATCTATCCAAACTGTTGACAGCTCTAACACAGTTAAGTCAGGTCCTCTGGATGGATTCTTCTTTGTTGAAACGTTTCAGTTTTTATCCAGAAGACTTCTTCAGTCTGAGGAGCTGCATTAAACTCAGTCTTATAAACATCACCTTCTCACAGTGGATCAACCAGTTTGTTGGTGACATCCAGAACTAGATGTTCACATGATAAAGGAGGACCACCAGCCTAACGACTGATCGTTAGTACCCTGGTGGCTGCTTGCTGTTCACAGAGGGCTGAGTGACAAGTCCGCTTACTATAAGTGACTTTGGGCTTGTTTTTTTTTTTTCTAAAGTCGATTGTAAATCTTGTGAGTCATGGTTGTGGTTTTTTGGACTTGTTTTGAACGTGAAGTTGCTTATTTGGGCTTAACTTTATTTCCCAGTGAAACTAGTTGATTATCTTCCAGCTCCACACAATAAAGCAAAAGACGAGCGGTAGTAGGTAGTTTGTCCCTTCCAAGCCACCGTTTCCTGTTTATCACTCCCGCCCAAGTTGGCGAGGCGACAGGCGCACACAGACATACATTAGACATATACAAATACGTCTGTGGGCGCGCACCCCAAACACTCATACTGTGGCCGACCACGAGGGGGCTCCACTCACACGCAGACGTCAGGATGTTTTGTTTGTAAAAATATGTAGAAAAATTAATATGCAAAATGTTTTATTATTTTTTTAATCAGAGCTTAAAAGTATGTTATTCAAAGTGCTTATCATAATTGTGCTGTTGTTTATGTGTAATGCCATAATGAATGTATGTTTGTACTGTTTAAAAACTGCCTCTGTTTTACATAATGTTGTGTGTTGCCAGTTGGGCTTGTTTTCATAGAGCTGGTTGCTTGTTTTTATCGTGAGATCTGGCAACATTGTTGATACTTGCAATAACAGCATTGTAAAAGGGGAACAGTTGGACACGGGGGCCTCTGTTAACGATGGACAGGTTCTCTTCACAAAGATGGCTTCCTTCACGCCTCTCAAACCATCGTTCCTCTCTATCAAGGATGTGAACATCTTCATCCCTGAATGAGTGACCACCTGATTGTTCAACTGTCCCCCTCTTACAATGCTGTTACAATGCTCTGTGAACAGCAAGTGGCCATCAGGGCACTAACGGCCAGTCGTTAGACTGGTGGTCCTCCTTTATCATGTGAACAGCTAGTTCTGGATGTCACCAACAAACTGGTTATCTACTATGACAAGGTGCTGCTTATAAGACTGAGTTTACTGCCGCTCCTCAGGCTGAAGAAGTCTTCTGGATAAAAACTGAAACGTTTCAACAAAGAAGAATCCATCCAGAGTTAACCGTGTTCGATTTTTTTTTAACCTGGATTATTGAGCATGAATCAGGACGTCTCACAGCTCATGAAGGACCTGTTCAGATGCCGTGAGCACGGCTTTTCCCACTCTTTTAAAAAAAAACGTAATCCTTTATTTGTGCAACGCGAGCAGCCCCCGTTTCCTTTTTATTGCCATCCCAACGGATGTGACCCAATTTCTCTGATCAATGAGTTCATTTGCAATTTCTTTGTCAACACATCTGCAACGACTGTGCATTGTTGTCAAGTGGGAAATTTCGGAGTATCTTGAAAAAAAAAAAATCACATTAAGCACCGGTTTTTTTCTTTAGGACAATACTTAAGACAACAACACAAAGAAAGAACTGAAGCATAAGCGTTTAAAGTAGCACCGTAAGTATCAATAATGGAATCACTGCAACGCAAATTGGTCCAGAAAGACATGTTTAAACTGAAGGAAATTTAAAAAAACCTACATTACCACGTAAAAAGAACCTCTCTGCTCCTGATGTGCTCCTCTGGGACTCTCCTGAGTAGTACTCCGTCACCGAGTTCGCCTTCAGTAATATTTACTCACTCAGCCTGTCTGAGTTGGACACAGGTTAACAGTTGTGCAACAGGTAAATAAGTAAAGTCACGGTCAAGTCGACTGGGAATGACACAGCAGAGTGCACGGTGAATAACACCACGTACGGTTTTACAGCTGCACAAGACGTTCAATTACACCATTATCTGAGCTCATCACCATCACCACGCCGGCTGCTGTGTGCCAGAAACCACAACGTCTGCAGGACTTTCACTTCTTGTGTTGTTTTTAGGAATGCCTCCAAGTCACAGGAAACTGGGCTTTCGTGGGAAAATTATGGACAATTACTGTCTTACCTGTTGCAGATAAGAGTTTATCTCTGACCAAATTGATCAGCTAATGGCTGGTCTAATTGAATGTCCGATGGCTAGGATCTTTAAAAGGTTTAATCCGTCACAGCAGTTCATGCAAGAAATATAATTAAAAACCTGAAAACTGCTTTGCATTCGCCACCAGTTAACCCAGCAGACACATCCCTGACACTGCTAGCTGCTGCTGTCAATATTTGCACCTGCAAACAACCGATTTATTAAAGTCAGATGCAGAATTGATGAGACAGTAAATGTTTCTGAAATGGTGTTTGCATAAATTGCAGGAAGTTGTTTACTGGTGTTGCTGGTGTCAAACTGCTACTCTGCTTATTTACAAAAATGAACATTTACTGGTGATTCCACAACCAGTGTCTGCACACAAATATAATGTTTGGAGGAGAAACACCAGAAATCTGGTTAAATGCTTTATAAAGTATCCACTTTGATAAATTGAATTGTAGACGTGCAGCTGTTTACAGATAATGATGGAGGGTGATCTCGCTTTGGCTCTTTTAAACTTTGATCATGGGATTAAATTGAAATTAACCTAAATAAATTATAAACTATGTCAAAGGAAAAAAAGAGCTAAAGCAGTTTTCATACAAATTTTAGCCAAACTTTGCTTTTTTAAAACATATTTGGTTAAGCTTTTATGAGCATCATCGCCCTCTACTGGCACAGCATGGATATGTCAGGATTTTTGTTAGAATGGTATGAAGAGAAATATCTGTCCATCCATCCCTCCGTCCCTCCATCCATCCTCTGTTCCTCCATCCATCCTTCCACCCGTCCTTCCATTTATACATCTATCCCTCCCTCCATCCATCCTGCTGTCCATACCTCAATTCATCCATTCCTTCACCTATCCTTCGTCCATTCCTCCATCCATCAATCCATCCCTCCCGCCATCTGTCCCTCCATTCATCATTCATCCATCTCTTGCTCCATCCATCTGTCCATACCTCCATTCCTTCACCCATTCTTTGTCCATTCCTCCATCCATCCCTCTCTCCCTCCATCTGTCCATCCACCCTTCCATCCATC